AATGAGGAAAAGCAGCTGGATCCATCCTGGTGGGGGTTGGGAATCCCAGGAATGGGGAGCTGAGTTTTTGGGGTACCCTCCTGCAGGGTTGGGATGGAAATTTTGGGATTCAGTGAAGGTGGATGACCCCATTCCCTGGAAAATTCCTTCAGCTCTCATTAACAGCCATTAATCACTTCCCTAATGAGCTCCCAGTGGGAATTTGGGGCATCTCCTGATGATCCCTGATCCCAGATCCTTCCAAGGCTTCTCCAGAGCTGCTTTGGGTGTGGGATTTGTGCTCCTGCCCCTGCTCCAGAGCTTCCCAGAACACAAAATCCCGAGGATTTGGGGCTTTTTCCCCTCCCCTCTGTGCACCCTGTGGTTTGTTACTGTAGGGGATGGGGATCCCATGATCCCATGGATTCAGGGGATGGGGATCCCATGATCCCATGGATTTAGGGGATGGGGATCCCATGGATTTAGGGGATGGGGATCCCATCCCTCCATGGTTTTAGAGATGATTCCAGGCTCATCCCAGAGCTTGGAGCTGCTTTGGGTGTGGGATTTGTGCTCCTGCACCTGCTCTGGTGCCCCTAAAGACACAAAAATTTTGGATTTTGGGTTTTTTTTTTCCTCCTGGGGTGTCCCAGGGCTCCATCCATCCCTGCTGCTGTCCCCATCCCAGTGCAGGTCCTGCAACAACCCGAAATGATTCAAATCTCATTTTTTTATTTTTTTTTTTTTTTTTGCCCCTTTTGAGGTCACAGAACTGTTTAATTTTATGCATCTGGGCCGTTGTCTCTCTGCTCCTGTGCTCGAGGCTGGGCTGAAATGGAGCCTTGATTTGGTTGTAGCCCTGGAAATGATTAAACTCTGTCACTAAATTTAACTGAGCTCAAGTGCTGAACCATTAAATCAGGAACAAAGGCACGGAGCTGATGGACATAATCCAATTAAAGCCACTCCACCAGCAGACACTCCCTGCCAGCCTCCCTCCCAAATTTGGGATCTCCCCTTGTGTCCCCATAAATGTGTGGCACCTCTGGGGCTGGGTTTGGAGGGATTGTTCTCACCAAACTCCTGTTTTCTGGGATTTTTTGGGATTTTTTGGGATTTTGGGACCATCCCTCCCTGCTGGGGGCCACCCCAGGTTGGGTTTGCAGGATTGTTCTCTCCAAACTCCTGTTTTCTGGGATTTTTTTGGGATTTCTGCTGGGAGCCACCCCAGGCTGGGTTTGCAGGATTCTTCTCCCCAAATTCCTTTTTCCTGGGATTTTTTGGGATTTTGGGGATGTCCCTCCCTGCTGGGAGCAGATGAGGAGCCCGAGTGATGCTGGAATTTGGGTTCCCAGTGCAGCATCCTGAGGGGTGAGAGGTGTTTGGATGGGCTCAGGCACTCCATGATCCTGGAATGCTGCTCCAAATCCTTGTGCTGTCATTCACCCCCTGGGAATGATGGAAATTCACCTCCAGGAATTCCCAACCTGCCTTGGGAATTCACCTTCCAGGAATTATCTCCAGGAATTCACCCCATGGGAATGATGGAAATTCACATCCAGGAATTCCCACCTTGCTTTGGGAATTCACATTCAGGAATTCAGCTGTTGGGAATGATGGAAATTCATCTCCAGGAGTTCCAAACCTGCATTGGGAATTCACCTCCAGGAATTCACCCCATGG